ATCAGGCTAACTCGTTCCCAGCACTCTCTTGTGGGACCGCCCAGTTGCATAGACAACACGGCACGAACACGTGCGTGGTCAGGGTACAAACTAATTGACATGCACGAAGGAAAGTCTCACACACGGAAGTCTTTGGTAGCTGATTCCTGTGTGAGCAGTCTGAGTGTTCGGTCACTTAGCTTGGGGGTGGTGCATTGGGTGACCTAGGAGCGCTTTGTCTATCCGAAGTTCTTACTAACGAGGAACAGGCTGTGTTCAAATCACAGACTAAGGAGTCGTTCCCCAATATCTGAACGACAGCTGAGTAAATCTGGATGAACTCTGAAATAATCCTCATTCGATGACAAACCGCCAGCGTGAGAATTCGGTTCTCCGGCCTTATTCACTTTATCCGTATAAAGCGTCTTGCGAAGAAGCCCATGTGCACTCTATCTTGGACTGCCTCAGACTACAGTTTGTTGAATTGTATGCAGAAACTAAGGCCAACCATCGTTTTTTATCTCTGCTTGTTGACCTTGCAGTCTCACTTCACGTAGTCAGCTGTCTAGCCGGATGATATATTCCAGTAGAGCAGCTACTGCTTTGCATTCTCATACATAACCTCTATGGTCCACTGACATTTATTTCTACATTAGATATAAACACGCACTCATAACTGTGAAAGCCTGAAGACGAAGTTACGAAAACAAGCTTGTTCGCTATACTGTTTGGCTTTAAAACCAATACAATTTGGTAAAAAACTTGTTTTTACAGTAATTCATTCTCAACATAGGTAACACTAAAGAAGAACCCTTTCTCGCTGTCAGCCACAACACCATATATGGGTGATAGTTTGTCATGATCAAGTTGCTTCTGTCAAATCGTTGTTCTCAGGGTGGCCGATACACACTCTGGCCTGACCGATCCCGAGTCATGGATTTTGGAGTGACTGAACCAAACGCTTTTGAGCGCTAAGGTCAGGGGCCAAATTTCTTATCCCAATCGCTTCCACCATAGTGCAAGAGTGCAGCGCACGTGGTGATGGAGCTTCTCATACGTTATTTTATGCTCCAGTGGATGTCAAACCACGGATCCTGAGTTTGTACGGATCGCAGCGACCCAAGCGAAACTCTCGGTTCACTGATGAAATTTAGGCCGGCTTACAAATTTTTGACGTTGCTTTTTTCACTTTAAAATATTATAAATCGTATTGTCTTTTATATGTAAGCTGGGTTTGAATTGTCTGTACAGATGTAGTTGCGTGTGCGAAGTCGGTGTCGTGTCTTACCACGTTCCTGAAAGGAATGGTTCAGATTATTATTATCCAGAGAGTCGCGGAGCGTAGATGTTACGTGCTTTACCGCATGCATTCATGGTTCAATTTGTCAAATCATGGACTAGGTTGGTCCTTAATGTTACCTACATAACCGAGAGTCCTCGTGACACGCTTATGACACAAGCTAAAGCCACCGCAATTCATACAGACCGAGTAAACGATAACGGTAAGGCACCGAAAATAGTCAAGAACTGAGATTGAGATTGACAGTTCAATTGTGTACCTATGCGCAATCAAAAACGTGAGCAAATGAGACGTTCGGGTAGCCCATTGCATAGTCGAACGTTCTCTAACTTAAGGTAAACAGATCCCCGGGGTCGATATGGATACTTTCTCCCAAGTTCAGTTACCAGTAACATTCATCCGTGGTTAACAGACAGACGATACTAACACATGCATTTTGGTTCACTTGAACTGTTTATCTTTATTTTTTCGATTTTCCATTACTTTTTCAGATACAACCGAGGCCGGGAATGGTCCACAGAAAGAGTCAGATACTATGCTCTGTGGATATCGTGTGAGTTCTTATGTGAAAGCATTGGAACTGCTTGTGGAATTTCGACTGACCACCGTGGTCACTGCTAGACAAGTGGTGATTCGACTAAAGCAGCTGGACGAGACCCAAGAGGAACCCAAACCGTCGAAATGCAAAGCATGCATGGTCCAAATCGGCGGACGTACGTATCACCTTTGTCGATTGGGATGTCAATCGGTAGTACGAGAGTACGATTTCGCCGGAGGAGAATGGTAAGCTCTTGGGTTATAATTCCAGAAGTGGTGCTGGTCGAAGATGATTGTTTATTGAGAATCACAGATGGGACATCGATAATTGGCATACATAACGCGGAAAATTAATCAGAAACAGACTATCACAGTTCCTGGCCACACAGCGGGTAATGAATGTAGCCATCGATAATTATTCTACGAGACCCAGCAAATTGCCCTCGGTGATCTTCCTGACTTGATCGTTGAAATGAATCACCAACTGTGTTACTTACTACTCACAGGTAAGTAGTATCTCACAACACTTGGAGTTTGATTGACAGCAGAACACCTCGATCACTGAATTCACTCCGGTAACTGGCACCCTGAGGCACTGACTGGTTAATTTCGGAGTGATGAATCACGCAAAGCTCAAATAGGTTCTGCGTTGTATTTAACCAATCCTCATTGAAGCTGGTGTACCGCCGAAACGTGTGGCTTCCACGCCGACTGAGGGAAACCATGGTGATGGACACTGAAGGGAATGTTCACCCGAGACCGTATTTTAACCGCTAATGCGTTTCACTTCCTTCTGTTCTGTGTCGGACAAGTTCACAACGAATTATCATTCCCGATTCAGGGCTTTAAGAGCCATGTAGATCTCGTGCATGTGAGTAACTGGTTGAAAGTTAAGAATATCTGCTTCATAATCTTCATTCATTTTTTTACTCGGTGAACTTTCTGCGTCTATTCGAATTCATTTCTGGTCGCATCTTTCTCGTATTACGTAACCATGTCTAACTCTCCACCATTGCTAATCGTTTTCTATTACGTAACTGTTTTCTGTGCTAACATTCCCCATCCCTCCTCCTCTTCTACTCATACTCAAATGNACTCAAATGACTTTGGTAATGACTCAACCATTCAGTGGCTT